TATCTAAATAAGCCTCAGTTTAAGGTTGAATATGAGTGAAGAAAGTGAAGCAAAGGCATACCTTAGCGTTGAACAACCTTAATGTTTAGATGGAACCATGATTTCATGTACCAGTATCTCTCGCTACTGTTCTCCAGATGTAGTTACAGAAACCGAAGATGCAAAGTATATGTTGTTTGTGCTAAAATCATAGATTTTTCATAAATGAATAGCAACATCATCTCTCTCAAGCACTAACACTTTTTGTAAAAGCAAAATAGAAGAGACATGAACGTACCTAAATCCAGTTCTGAAACCACCAATCCAACCATGCTTGTATGATTTGAGTCTCCAAATGACATCATTCCTTGTGCCCTGAAAAGGGACAAAGCTCTAAGCTTCTGCCATTAAGATTTAGTTTGTTCAAGTTGAAAACTTGATAGCTGTCCTACAGGTTAAAGAGGAAGATTTAAACAAAGCATTGTAAACCAAGATTTGAATTTTAAAACCAACTTATTCAGATTTAATACTTTCATTGGTACCTGAAGCTAGTGGTTAGTTTGAAAGTCGGTAGAACCAAACTAAACAAAGTATGAGTTAACTGTTTTTAATCACTTTTTTCAAAGAAAAAAATATTCAGTTTACTAAGAAACTCAGATCCAACTATGAATATCTATACATGTACCTAAAACAGAATCCAAAGGAATGTCCTCAAAGCGTTGATTGTGTTAGAGTTTTTAAAAGACGTACAGACGATTTAATTTGACCAAAAAAAAAAGAGAACTTTACAACTTATTTACTGGAAATCTCATAAGAAACATCAGTAGCTGGTGAGAAAAAAATAATAAAAACGAAAAGCTAAACAGAGAAGTAAACAAACATGGATTCAAAGCTTGAATACATGATTGTCTCAGGGAAAAAATAAAAATAAAAAAAACTGAGCAAGATGCCCCAAAAAGACACCATCCTCGAAACTAAAACAAAAAGCTTAACGAGCGTATAAGCTCTTTGCCTCGAGCCTCCCAAAATATCAGAAGACACATTTCCACGGTGGTGTCGGTATTCAAAACGGTTAATAATTTAAAAGTTTTTGCCATTTCAGTCTCTGATTTTTTGGGAAAACGATTTAGAAGAATAAACTGATGAATGAGATACAAAGAGAAGATGTGTTCAAGAAGAGAAACACTCACATATTTATACCGAAAACACACAACATAGATCTAAACGACGCATTGATGGCCTCATCTTGGGCGAATGTATCAATAGGGTTAAACACAAAACCATTACTCATGCCGTTTCAGATAGCGAATCGAAGCGCAAACGTCACGAACCCGCCGTCGCACGCCAAGGAGAGACGAACTTCTTTTCTTGTTTCTCCGGTATTAGGGTTTGAGGTGAACCCCATTCATCGGCCCAAACACACAACACATTAACAGATTTAGGCCCATCACGCAATTGATTAAATGAAACGGTGAGTTTCACGGCTGTGACAAGTGTTGCAATTTCAGAAGACTATTTTCTGACGTGGCACTCTCTATAAAGAGGGAACCATACTTTATATATATATATTAGATTTGTGCCCTTCCCTACAAAGAAGTGCATTCCAAAAGGTTTTTTTTACAATTTGTCATACAATGATAGGAGAACACAATAATTCGGTAACATAGACTAGAGATCTGTGAAAATAATTATAAACCTAATGGCCAATCTCCATAATGATAACGTGCCACATTTCATATATAGGATACTCATTAATTACTTGATTGAATTATATATAGATCTCATAAATTATTATTGTCAACTAGATTTTGACCCGTACATCCGTACAATATTTATTTTAACTTTTATAAACATACCTTATATATTTATTATACATAAATATTGTAATATTAACATTAAATTATTATTTGTATTGATTTTAATTTTATTTTTTTATTACATACTAATTATATACATTATGAAATGTTTTTTGTATCTTCAAACTTTTAGCGCATCATGATAGTTAGCCTTACCAAACCATAAAGTAAAAAAGAGAAAAATCCTAATTGTCAAGAGCAAAAAATATATTTTTATACATATAAGCCGATGGCTAGAGACTCATAATTTAACAATAATGTTTTTAATTGGTTTCAAAAATTTAGTATAAAAGAGAAGACTTTATATTCAACGGGTCTCTCACATATCAGATTCTATAAGTTGTTCATATCCTCAATGGCTCTCTTACTTTATCTTCAACAGCTCTCTCGCATATCAGATTCTATAATTTGTCTGATGTCCGGTCTTCATTGATATTTGATAAAATAAATTAATTTATAGGTGGAAGACGAACAAGTTACATACTCATCCAGATATGAGAAACACCAAGTATGATAACACTCTATTGTTGTAAGATCTATGAACAAAGAACACGTTTTTTTTTCTTATGGTTTCCTTAACAATGATGTTCTCTTGCCACTATGATTCACTATACCTTGTTATCTTTCGAAAAATTAGTTTTGCGATGTGTCTTGAGATCTACAAATGCAAATTTTGTATTACGCAGAGAATGTTGCACTTAATTATTGTTTTTGGAGAATGGAAGATGGATAATGTTGGTTGGAAATTCCTTGTTGATCCAAGTAAGAATGAGAAGGATTTTTTGGTTGAAGACGATATCAAATATGAAAAACATTTCTGCATGATTTGTGAAGATTACAATATGATTAGTGAGATGAAAACGGTCGAGCTTGCTTATATGTTGCCTAAACATATACTGGATCAAATGTCTAGAAACACTCCTCTGATGTTCTTGAGTAACGACAAACAACTTACAAACTTTATCACATTGTACAAGACAGACATTATGTGTATTTATGTCTCATTGACTGCAAACAAAGGTCGTCATGATGTGAATAGAAATAAAAAATGTGTCGTCAGAGAAAATGCTGCTGCGGATTTTTTTGGAAACGTTCAGTACGAGACTACAAAGCCATCACAAGAGATTATGAAACCATCACTTGAGACTATGAAACCATTACAGCTGCGGAAGAGTGAAATCATTAAGTCTGGTGGCATATTCAGTGGCAAAAAGGAACTAATAATGAAACTACGTAAGATTTCAGTGATCGAAAGGTTTGATTTCAGTATCAAAAGTCTTGAAAGTATGTATTTTACGCAAAGTGATTCGTTCCTAGATGTTCCTGAAGGATACATGCTTCAACTATGTAAAGATCATCTCCAGAATTTCTCGTTCGTAACTATATTGATCTTTGTACATGTTCTGCGGTCCATATATATTCTCCTCATCGACATGCAAATGCAAAATGTATTGATGAGATGTATATTGAGGGATTTAGTAGTGGTAGTGATCTTAAAGGAATCCATCATAAACATATAATGAACTGTATTAGGGCAGTTCATGGAACTGACATTGGTTATACGAAGGCTCATAACACCTTGATCACGAGATATAATTAGAGCACTCATGCAGTGGCTATCAGGACTTGCCTTCGTATCTATACGAAAGAGAGAAGGCCAATCTCATGTACAAAAACAAAACTTGAACTTGATGATCAGAAAAAGTTTATGTATTTGTTCATTGCTTTTGGTGCATCTATCAAAGGCTTTCTGTACATGAAGAGGGTTATTGTTGTAGATGGAGCACGTCTAAATGGTAAGTTTATAGGTGTTATGGTAGTGGTTGCATGTCAGAATGGAAACAGAGATATATATCCTATAGTTTTTGGGATCGTAAAAGCAAAGGATCTTCGTTCATTGGAATATTTTTTTACTCAACTATGTGGTGTGATAGGTGGTGGTAAACATTTTAGTTTCATCTCTGACCATGTCCATCAATAACCAAGGCTCTTACGAATGTTTTCCCTGAAGTTGATAAAGGCATATGCCTATTATCTTGGAGAAAACATACTTCAAAATTCGAAAAGATACCACTGGTATTTTTGACGGAAAAGGCTGCTATGCTATATAGACACGTGGAATATAACAAGTTTTTTAAAGTCATTCAACATTTTTTTACAAATTTCTTGATTTTGAGGATCAACCAACTCTAAATAGATTCTACTCTCACTTATATAATAAATACTATAAAATCATGTATTATTTGGAAACAAAATATATAACTTTTTAAAATAGAAGGATGTGATAGATTTAGAAATTTTTAATTTTAATCTATTTTAAAATTTATGTAATAATAAATTTTCTACATGTTAATTTGTAAATTTAGTCTTGAAATGCATCATTAGTTATTATTTTGCCACATAATTGAATGCGGTCTATCTATTTAGATGACTTTGCGTTTCAGCATTATGGCAAGATTCTAAACACTACTATATCATCACAAAGTTAAAACTGGTCATTGTATTGCAATGTCTTTCTTTTCTATTTTCTCTTTTCAACCAAACCGATAAAATATCTCAAAATATCATGAGAAATTGTTTAAAATACCATAAGTTAGCTATTACTTTTCAACAATATCTTCACTCAAAATACTTTAAAATTTAGGTTTATTCGTGATTATTATTTAGAGTTTAATATTTAGACAGTAAGATTAAGTTTAAAATTTTTATAAATGATTATTGAACATTTATAAATGATTTGAAATGATTAGTTTAGTATTTTTCATCATAAATTTAGAGTATTTTTGAAAATGATCATTGGTTAAGGATAAATTTGAAAAGCAGTATCAAAATTTGTTATAAAATTAGAATTCTCTTATATATCAAATGAGATTAGAGTGATGTTGACAAAATAATATCAAATGAGTCACATTAAAAAAGTAATGGTGGTAAGTAAACAAATAGTACAGAAATAAGATATGAAGCATCCGAGAACATTAAAAAAAAGATAAGGGAATATATTCATTAAAAACTTAAATAAATTAAAATAAAGAAAACGAGATAATTAATTTAATTAAATAAACGCAAACGTCGAGTTGTTTGAAAGTGAGCCAAACATGGCTTTAACTTGTGGGCTATATAAATGTTGCGATTCATTGCCATATGAGTACAAAACATACTGTGGCTGGCTTATCTCTTTGGCACAAGTGCTCCCCTTAAAATCATCCAATAGTCGTTCACTCCTACATTCTTCAATCTCACACCAATCTCTCTTCACTTTCAGTCTCCCTTTTCTTTTCTTTTTTCAGATTAATCCCATTTTTAATAGAAAATAATCAAAAAAAGAACAGCAACCCAATTTCAGTTTCAGAATTCCAAGAAACCCGGAGATCTTCGTATCTAATATAGACTCATTCCAGTGAACTCTGAATCCATTTCCAGATTCAAGTTCATTGTGTTCCAAGTTTAAAAGGAGGTAACATTACTAACTACATTTCTCTTTCTTTTAAACAAAGTTATTCATTCGTGCCTCTGTATCCAAGTCCTTAAAATATTGGTGTTTCGCACATGCACATACTTGTATATATATGGGTAGATAAATGATCGGTTTAATGAGATTATAGAAGAAGAAAGGTCACTATAGAGATTCGAGTCTACCATTGTTACAGTCTTTAATGCAATGAAAGGGTAGTAGAAGAAGAAAGGTCACTAGTAAATTCGAGTCTACCATAGTACTCATCTTTAATGAAAGATTAGATTTGTTTTATGAGATGGTAGTAGAAGAAGAAGAAGGGTCACGAGTCTACCATAGTACTGATCATCTTTAATGCAAATACATTTCTCCTTTGTCAGTAAAAAAAATACATTTCTCCTTTTTGCTAAATAAAAAAATCGAGACTACCATTTTATAAATTCTTACAAAGTAATGGAATTTTTCTAATTTCTTATAATACGTTTTGCAGTTTTTATAATGAAAAACTTGGTCTTAGCATATCCGTTCAGAATCTAATCCGTTGTATCGGGTCAATGTAACTTATTATCTACTACAATGCAGGCAGATAAATTTCATTAAAAAGCAAAAAAAAAATGAAAGTGGCTGTGATAGGAAGTGGAATAAGTGGCCTGGGAAGTGCCTACGTTCTTGCTAACCAAGGAGTCGAAGAACTCGTTTTGTACGAGAAAGAAGAGTCATTAGGTGGTCATGCAAAAACGGTGCGTTTTGATGGCATTGACTTGGACCTTGGATTCATGGTCTTCAATCGTGTACGTATCCATCTCCCTTTCGCTCATTTCTTATATCTTTTTGAGAAAATATATTTGTTGTATAGAAATAAATAATTATAAAAGGTAATATATATTTCTAGAATTTCCCATTTTCGTGAAAAAATTGTGATGGTATGGAGGCATTTGCCTTTATGTGTCCCACACAAAGGACCATACCTTTATTGGAATTTTGTTTTTTTAGTATATATATTCAATATTTTTACCCCTTTTAGCTATAGACTATTGTGTGCTTTATAAACTTTTTTGAATGCATAGCTTAATTTAATTTACACGCCTTTCCAAATCCAGAAAGTGAATTTAATATATCACCAAAGAGATTTAGCATGTTATTTCTTTAATTAAGTCAACCGTATTTTAGAAAAAGATTTAGTTGTTCTCCATGGTCCGACCTGCATTGTATTCAAATAAAAAAACAACTTGGAATTTTTTATTGATATGATGCTTTTTGTCGTTCTCTTTCCTATAAGACAAGCAAACAGCTCACTATCATCTGGTGACCATTCATAACAACTTTATCCAATGTTAGCAATTTCACGTTGGATTTTTCTCTATAACTGATAAACAACCTCACTATAGTTGATTAGTGTAGTACATTCATATATATTACACGAATTAATCTCAATATGTTATGGAAATAATGTGATAACAATGTGAACATTCATAGTAAAGATTGTTTTGATATTGCTCCTAGCTTGAACTTTTGGATGTTGACCATACATATGTTCATAAATAATTGATAGGTTACATATCCAAACATGATGGAGTTCTTTGAGAACCTTGGAGTAGAGATGGAGGTTTCAGACATGTCTTTTGCAGTAAGCCTTGACAATGGCAAAGGCTGTGAATGGGGAAGCCGCAACGGTGTATCTGGCTTATTTGCTCAGAAGAAGAATGCTCTTAACCCTTATTTCTGGCAGATGATCAGAGAGATTGTGAAGTTTAAGGATGACGTTTCAAGATACATCGAAGAGCTCGAGGCTAACCCTGATATCGATCGAAGTGAAACCTTGGGAGAGTTCCTCAATGGTCGTGGATACTCTAAGATGTTTCAGGAAGCTTACTTGGTTAGAATTTTTATTAACTTGCTTCGTCAAAATGACTGTTTTAAGTTTACTTGCGCAAGACGTAACCTTATGTAAATATATGTGGGTGTAGATTCCGATATGTGGCTCAATATGGTCATGTCCATCAGATGGTGTCTTAAGCTTCTCTGCTTACTCTGTTCTTTCGTTCTGCTGCAACCACCACCTTCTTCAGGTTCGTTAATTAATTCTTCCTTTTACAGTTTCTTTTTTAATGTCTAGAGTTTCTGAACCGGAAAACCCGTACATCCTCTAAGGGCAAAGTGCAAACTATTTTAAATCAACTCTCGGTAGTATAGCAGACTCCTTCCAACAAGAGTTGAACCCATGACCTCTTAGATCTCTATTAAAAATCCAAGAGTTTTAGTCACTACTAGTTATACAATTTTCTTTGTGGTGTTAATTAGTCTAGCCATTTTTCTTTGCAGATCTTTGGGAGGCCACAATGGCTAACTGTTGCAGGGCGTTCTCAGACTTATGTTGCAAAGGTTCAAAACTAAACCAACTAATATATGAATGGCTGTGTTGGGTGTAATGTAGATATACATTTGAGTCTGACTCTGTACCTACTTATCAGGTTAGGGCAGAACTGGAGCGACTAGGATGCAAGATCAGAACAAGCTGCGACATCAAATCTGTTTTGACATCTGGTGATGGTCGTGTCACGGTAACAAGTGGAGATGGGGCTGAAGAAATATTCGATAGGGTCATATTGGCTATGCATGCTCCAGATGCTCTGAGGCTGCTTGGCGAGCAAGTCACATTTGATGAAACTAGGGTTCTTGGTGCTTTCCGATATGTTTACAGGTTTAGAACTCGCACCTTTACTTGTTTTCTTTGATCTATAAAGTTTAAGGGATCCATAACTTGTCTTCCTTTATTGCAGCGATATCTATCTTCATAATGACACTGATCTGATGCCGCGGAACCAAGCAGCATGGAGCGCATGGAATTTCTTGGGAAGCACGGAAAAGAAAGTATGTGTAACATACTGGCTCAACATACTTCAGGTATACAACCAAAATTTTCATACTTTATTAATTCCACCTTTGCAAAAACATGATCGATGATCTTTAAGCTAAAATCTTGATGTTGTGTATGGGTGCAGAACCTTGGGGAAGACCGTGAACCGTTCTTTGTGACACTAAACCCAGATCAGACTCCAAAGAAAACATTGCTCAAATGGACCACTGGTCATCCTGTTCCTTCAGTTGCAGCTTGGACAGCTTCACAGGAGCTTCACAAGATTCAAGGCAAACGTAACATATGGTTTTGTGGTGCATATCAAGGTTATGGCTTCCATGAAGATGGGCTAAAGGTAATGATCCAGATGCCCCCATTCTCTTTCCATATTGCATTTTCTGTAACTCACAGTTGTGTTGATATTGTTTCCAGGCTGGTATGGCGGCTGCACGAGGTTTGCTAGGGAAAGAAGCTGCTCTTCTGAAAAATCCACAGCATATGGTTCCTTCTCTAACCGAAGCAGGAGCAAGGCTTTTCGTTACTAGATTCTTGGGACAGTTCATATCAACTGGTTGTGTAACGTGAGTTCTCACCTGTTCTCTCCTCAACTTAGATTAAAGTATGTTTCAAAAATACTTAATCCAATGAACTGAACAGAATACTAGAAGAAGGAGGAACGATGTTCAACTTTGAGGGAAAAGATCCTACTTGTCCTTTGAAATCTGTCCTCAAGATTCACAGTCCTCAGTTTTACTGGAAGGTATTAAAAAAGTTATAATTAGTCTTTCAATCGCTCAAGAGCCTGATTCTTGATTCTTGATTCTCAGGTTATGACACAAGCAGATTTGGGACTTGCAGACGCTTACATCAATGGGGATTTTTCATTCGTTGATAGAGACTCTGGACTTTTGAATTTCATTATGGTACATAACATACTTGTAGAAATATAGATATTTTGTCTATTCTTCTTCTTCTTCTTCCTGTTTCATTTAATTTAGTTTTAATGTTTATCTTCTTGATAATATTTGAACAGATTCTCATTGCTAACAGAGATCTTACCTCACCAAAGTCAAATCATTCTAAGAAGAGGTATAAGCTCATATCTTTCTTTCAGCATAAGTGAGATATAATTTCTATTAAAAAATTTAGGAGTTCACATGTGTGTGTTCTTGATGTTCTTGCAGGGGATGGTGGACACCAATGTTTCTAACTGCCAGTGTAGCATCTGCAAAGTATTTTCTAAAGCATGTCTCTAGACAGAACACTTTAACACAAGCTCGCAGGAACATTTCTCGTCACTATGACCTTGTATATTCCTTATAATCTATACCTCTCCTAAAACGTTGATGAAACATTTCCTTGATCTTTTGAATTATTATCAATTTTTTTTTTTGTTAATCGATTCACAGAGCAACGAGCTTTTCGGTTTATTCTTGGATGATACCATGACTTACTCCTCTGCAGTATTCAAGGTAACCATAAAAACAGTTCCCTCTTTTTTCACTTCTCTTATTTTACTATATGATTCTGACTTGAACCTTTTGCATACAGTCTGACGATGAGGATCTGAAAGCTGCTCAGATGAGAAAGATATCTCTTCTCATTGATAAGGTAAGAGAAGAACATGTTTTTTTTTGCTTTAGAACAAGATATATCTTTTATGTTCTGTAATAACCACAAGGAGACATTTTAGGCAAGAGTTGAGAAGCACCATGAGGTTCTAGAGATTGGATGTGGATGGGGAACTTTGGCCATTGAGGTTGTGAGAAGAACTGGTTGCAGATACACTGGCATCACATTATCTATTGAGCAGCTTAAATATGCAGAAGAGAAAGTGAAAGAAGCTGGACTTGAGGTCTGAAGACTCATCTATGGGATCTTGTTTCTTATTTCCTAGGCTATATATGACTAATGATATAACTTCTGAATGATAGGACCGGATCACCTTTAAGCTCTGCGACTATCGTCAACTATCCGAGGCTCACAAATATGATAGGATTATATCTTGGTAAAAAAAAAAAGAAAAACAAACTCTCTTGACCTCTCTGTTGATGTAACTCTCTGGTTAATCTGTCTTCTGACATAACATTTTGGATGTTTCAGTGAGATGCTAGAAGCAGTTGGCCATGAGTTTATGGAGATGTTCTTCAGTCGCTGTGAAGCCGCCCTTGCGGAGAACGGCCTAATGGTCTTGCAGGTCACAACACTTTGCTACTCCTCTTGTTAAAAACATTCTCAAATGTTTTCACAAAGCTTTAATATTTTCTAATGTTTTGTTCATAACAGTTCATATCGATACCAGAAGAGCGTTACAATGAGTACAGACTAAGCTCAGATTTCATTAAGGAATACATATTCCCCGGTGGATGCCTTCCTTCCTTAGCCAGAGTTACTTCTGCAATGTCCTCTTCTTCTAGGCTATGGTAAATAATTATATTTTTTTTTTATTTTGCTATATATTTGTTAAATCTCAATCTAACCCGGAATTATTGCAGCATTGAACATGTTGAGAATATTGGAATTCATTACTACCAAACACTAAGAATGTGGAGGAAGAACTTCTTGGAGAGACAAAAGTAAGACAAATATTGAAATTATCTATTCACTAAGTTTTGGATTCATTCTGCTTACTAACATTTTCAAAAAATTATATTAATTTGTGCAGGCCAATCATGGCTCTAGGATTTGATGATAAGTTCATAAGGACATGGGAGTATTATTTTGATTATTGCGCAGCTGGTTTCAAGACTCTTACCCTTGGAAACTACCATGTAAACATATACTAGAAAACTAAGCATGCTTCTTAATTTTAATCTACAATGAAGTTTTGAATGGCATTTTTAACTTATTGAGTGAACAATCACAATTACATTGCAGGTGGTGTTTTCGCGTCCAGGGAACGTAGCTGCATTCGCTGATTCATACAAGGGATTTCCATCTGCTTATTATGTCGCCTGAGAGCAACAAGATTACATTGCTTACTTTTCTATCTTCTTATACAATCAATTTGAATATCTATGATTGTTTACTTATTGTGTTGAATGTGGAAGTTTGAATAAAATAAAAGTTGTTTGCACCCAAAAAAAAGCTACTCTAGAAAAAACCAATGCCTGTGAAAAAGGTCTACCCCACATGGATGATTATAAATGTACAATCGTGTGCTGTATAGGCCAAAATGCCTAACCTTGTGATTTTCATGTGCTAAAGGGTTCATTGTCAACTTCACTGGATACGTTAAATATAGTGTTACCCGACCATGAAATTGCCTAACTTCTATAGTTCATTTATAATATAATAAATTAGAAGCAATTCTCATGGTGATACACCAAATTACAACATGCTCTGTATAAATGTATCGTTTATGACTTGCATCCTGTGTTTTAAAAGGCACATGGCCCATGGCGCTCAGAGGCGCTCGCCTTAGGGATATGACACATTTTAACATAGGGCCTTAGGGATATGACGCATTTTAACATAGGTTAGTAGTATAGAGCTATAGAAGAAGTTAGAAATGCATTGATAGTTGTTCCTAGGCTCGAAGTACAGTATGTGTTATGTGTTATGTGTCAAATGAAACTATTTTTATGGTATACACGTATAACTCTAAGTTAGTTACAGAGTTGTGAAGACAGTCGTATACACATTACACAGTAATATAGTCAAGTTATACCAGTTAGGCATATCTATACTATTAAAGTAGATGACTGCTTATGAATCTACCCCTGATTTTTTAAGGAAATTACAAAACATTCCATTTCCTTTTATTTTTTAATGAAATCATCCATTAAAAGTCCAACTGAAAATCGCCAATTAAAAGCCCAATAATTTTAACATTTATTTGCAACGAAATGGGCTTCAAATCTATACAAAAAAATTATATATTTGTAAGTTTACAAATTTATCAAAAGAAGTAGGTCTGAGTATTTGACACAGACCCACGAAAATACAGATCCAGGTCCAGGTTCGGGTCATTGCTAAAGTATATGTTGGTATTTTTTGTTTGGATCCGCAGGTCTCGGTTCGTCCGGGTCCTACTAGAAACCCGATCGGGTATTCTAAGTATCCACAAATTATGGTATATATTAGCTATATTTAGGTGATTGGATATATTTTTGATAATTCCGGTATTTTTTAAAGTTTCAGATTTGGATTTTCGAATATAATATTAGGTTTTAGGTAAACTTTTAGATTTCAAAAAAATATAATTCGGGTATCGGGGTAAAATTCCGGGTATATTTTTGATTTTTGGGTCTGATTTTGGATAAAATTTCGGATTTTTTTTTGCGGTTTTTCGGGCTTTTTTAGGGTTTTCGGGTTTTTGGATCCAGTTTGGGTCCTTCGGATCCTTTTCGGGTCCTAAATACCCGAACCGACCCGATAATATACCCGAACCAACAAACCTGACAAGACCTGATCCGAAATCGACCCGAAAAATTATAGATACTTATATGGGTCCAAATTTTTAAGACCCGAAAGACATGAACCCGACAAAACTCGATCCAGACCCGACTCGAGGATCCGGATACTCAGAATTAAACAGTATACTACCCGCGCTTTGAAAGCGCGGGTCAAAATCTAGTATACACTAATATAGTCAGCTCTACCAGTTAGTCAAACTAATATACACACACTAATACAGTCAGAAACAGTCCCGGCTCAGAGGAGGTGCTCAGAGTGCATAAGCACATAGCCCATTTTTTATTTCTCCAATTTTACTTAAAATTTAGGGCTTTAATTTTTAGAAAACAATACAAAATATGATTCAATTTTTCTAATGGATATTTCTGTATAAGAAATTTAAAAAAATATTTTGATAAGCATTGGGCCTTAGATTCTAATGAAACGGGCCTGGTCAGGAACCTGTAAACTAAAAAATAAATTTAAATACTTAAATCTGAAACACCTAAACACCTTTCAAGTTAAAAGATCTAAGGGTCATGTAATAAGGATCTTTTAAGAGTTAGTTACTCAAAGTAGTTGCGACAGAATTTATAAGATGTTGTAAGGGTCGGTAAAGGAAGGGTTTTAACAGAAAACTGTTAGATTTTCTAATGCGGAAGTGTGTTAAACCGAAAACATACCTTACTCCGATTTAGTGATGAACACTACTGATTCAATCGGGCAAGAGTCGGAGGTGGAATCACAGATAGAGATCAACCACTTGTCCCATTTCAAATGTCCTTCTAGTTGATTCTTTGAAACTTTCTCTCTCTAAAACGTTTTATTCTCTCTCTAGAATTATTTTTCTTCTTACTTGGATTGATCGTTTCTCTTTACCATGTATTCTATTTATAGATAACCAAGGGCTGCATTGTGAAGAGTCACATATGTTTAATCAGAATGGACACATATGTTCAGTGAAAAAACACATACTTTCCATGAAGAATTGCATATGTTCATTGATGGAGTTTAACCCATAACTACTGGTTAATCAAACCGGTTCGGTATACTGCCTAATCATGAGCGTAAACCAAACACTAACTAAAATCTCCCACTCGTAAATGATTGGGAGCATGTCAATTCCTAGAGAAGTCTTAGGATCAAGCAAGAGAATCCTAACTCAGAAATTATATGGCAAATGCGACCCTTGCGAGTACACCTACACTTGGGAGCTAAATTATGCATCTGTTAGGGATACATACAAGATACAACCCTTCAAAAAGGCTTTTTTCAGCATGTCTTGCTGTTCCCCAAACTCATTTGTCTTTTATATCGGTCTAACATATCTGATCCCTAAATCATATGTTAGACTTTTCCTACATCATGTGTTCGCTATATAAAACTTCGATTGAGTAAGATAGTGGCTGGCCAGCAAACACATATGTCAATATAAAAACTAATAGTTTTCTCTTCTGATCTCATGTTTATCTGTTCTGAATTAACTGCTTTCTTAGCATGTCTCATAAGGCTAATTATTCCATCGCCGTCGAAAAACATACTAAAGTAGCATGCACTAATTATTTCCTTCAAGAACATAGCTTAAGGTTCAAGGGTAACTTTTACAACCGTAAATTGGTTGATCGGAACTCACATGCGAGGGATAGGGATTAAAAATAAAATAATCAGTCGCTTCCTATATCGTCGTACATAGCACATGTGGTATGACAAACATGTCATAGTGGTTAACTTTTCTCTTGAGAGTATGTGTCAATTATATAATCAACTACCATTATGTGGATCAAGCTACTATCAGATCACTCTCTAGCGCCTGATTCTGTACTTATCCAGCTCTTCTAAGTATTCATGATTTTGGGACAATCATGATTGATACGAAAAAAATATCTCATCTTAACCTCTTGTTAAGGCGATACTGATAAGTCTTACAAGGCAAGCTCCCACTAGCGCCCAACTAATAAAGTCTCATATCAGCATTTCACTAAGAAATCTGAAGAAATTGTTCATGTGAGTGAACCAATCTCCTACTTGGTGACACCTCTTAACTTTTATGTGTAAGTATCAAATCAAGTATATACCACAAGGAATAGTCTATTGTTCCCTTTAAGTATCTGAGGATTATTTTCACTGCCATCTAGTGTTTCTTTCCAGAATTTGATTGGTAACGACTTACCAAGCCAACCGCATAACAAATATCCGGTCGAGTGCACATCATAGCATACATCAAGGTGCCTATAACACTGGACTATGGGACTCCTTCCATCTCACTTTTCTCTTCACTGGTCTGAGGGCACATATTTAGGCTAAGGCCTTCACCTTTTGCGCTTGGAGTTTCACTCGGATTACTATTAAGCATCTTAAACCTTTCAAGGATTGTACAAATGTATGACTCTTGTGGCAGAGCTAATAATTGCCTTGATTGATCTAGGTGAATTTTAACACCAAGAACATAGTTCGCTTCTCTCATATCCTTCATCTCAAAATGAGATGATAACCATTTTTTAACGGTTATTAGAAACTCCATGTCATTTCTAGCTAACAAAATGTCGTCAACATATAGTGAAAGAATTACAAAAGATTGTCCAGTTCTCTTGACATAGACACAGTGATCTTCACTAATCATCATAAATTTATAAGATGTTATAGTTCGATAAAAACGAAGGTACCACTGTCTACTAGATTGTTTTAAACCCTATATGGAACGTTTGAGCTTACAAACTTTGCGCTCATGACCTTTTTTCACCAAACCAATAGGCTGTTCCATGTAGATTTCTGCTTCTAGTTCTTCATTAAAAAATGCAGTCATAACGTCCATTTGATGTAATTCTAAATCTAATCCGGCAACTATGGCTAGAATAAGGCGAATCAAGGCAAATATCACCACTAGTGAAAATGTTTCCTCATAGTCTATACCCTCTTGCTGGGTATAACCTTTTGCTACCAAAGGAGCCTTATACCTATCTATGGATCCATCCGCCCTTCGTTTAATCTTGAAAATCCATTTGTTTCCAATTTCTCGACGTTCTGGCGGAAGATCAACCAAGTCCCAGACTTGATTTACCTTCATAGATTCTAGTTCTTCTCTGATTACACAATTACATTCAGCTGAGTTAGAGCAAGATAGATCCTGTTGAACTGATCTAGGCTCTAATTCATCATGCAAGGCAACCATGAAAGCTTCCTTTTTGATCTCAAATCGACGCTGAGGAATTATTCCACGATTACTTCTACACACTTCAGCCTCTTGTAATTCTTCTCTTGAAGAATCATTAACCAATGTTTCTCTCCCACTAAGTTGAGATAGTTCACGAGAAATTTCACCAACTTCCACAGATTGCTTAGTACAAAATATTAGTTGGGTCAATCATCTCTTCAAGACGAGACTCCCTTTCAACCTCTCCCCTTTTATGAAAATCACTTTCCATAAATGTCCCATCTCGTGAATCGATTTCTATTATATTTCCATCTGAATGTTTGCCGATGAGCACATAACCTTTAAAATGCTCAGATTACCTAATAAAGATACACTTCTTTCCTCTGGGACCTAATTTTCCATGAGGATGTGAAGTACTGCGAAAAAATGCTGCAGACCCCCAAGGTCTCAAATGCATTAAATCAGGCTTTCTTCCTGTCCATAATTCATAAGGAGTGGAAGTAACAGATTCAGAGGGCACACAGTTAA